ACTACACCGGATATCCCTTCCATATCCGAATGCCCAAGGACTACCTTTCAGAGTCTGATAAGGTTGCCAAAGCAATTGCCCGTGCCCGTCACGAGACAGTCAACAGGAAGATTACGAGCTTCGGAGTGATGAGCCATACCTTCCGCCACCCCCTTTCGAAGCACAAGGTCTGCGCCGATGCTGTCGCTGTCTGCGTCCAGTCTGCCATTGAGTGTGGCGAGAAGCCCTTCCAGGTGAACTATTAGATGGTTAATGAGTAGTAGAGGCAGGTTTGTAGTGGCATCCAGCCGTCATTTTCGTCATGGTCGTACTTTTGTGGAGGCTGATTCTTCGAATCCATCGTGACGGGATCGTATATAGTCACGAATAGAACGTAATCGTACTGGACGCACACTCCCCGTAGTTTCGAGCCGGGATTACCCTCTACCCCAGGTTCCTCAGTAGTAGTAGAAGAAGACGACATGACAAATAAGTTAGTTTGCTCTCCGCCAAACTGTTGCTATCGCCATGACTCTAAGCAGAGCAATGTGGAAGCACACTTGCTCCTGCCTGGACTGGTACGTCACCGTAGATAGAGTTAGGGTTTCAAGGGAACAGTCAGCGGTAGGAGCCAATCCAAGCCACATTGCTAGCAGCCACCAATCGATCGAAGAGGACAATGGCGTCCTTTTCTTTTTGTTTCGTTCGAACGAACGGCTATGGCTACCGCACTGTTCCTAGCTACTGCTACTACTGCACTATGCTACTATCGACCTTGGTCCGGTTGCAGGAGCCCTGTTATCTGTTGAACGATCGAGTTGTTGTGCTTTTCGGCCGATGACCGATCGATCGGCCGATGACCATCTTGAGCGACACCAACTGGTGCTTCACTCCCCTCTTGAGCGACACCAACTGGTGCTTCACTCCTCTCTTGAGCGACACCAACTGGTGCTTCGACTCCCCCTTCTTGAGTGACACCAACTGGTGCTTTACTACCCTCTTGAGCGACACCACCTGGTGCTTCACTCCCCTCTTGAGCGACACCCTGGTGCTTCACTCCTCTCTTGAGCGACACCAACTGGTGCTTCGCTCCCTTCTTGAGTGACACCAACTGGTGTCGACCTCCCCGCTTCGTTGTTGCCATCACACCGACTCTAGGGCCATGGTCGATTTTTTCGCGTTTCGCGATTTTCAACAACAACAACAGATCGACCCTTAGTCTTAGACTGATCGGCCCCTAAGTCTTGCACTCCTGGCAAGATTGGTGGTCCCTATGTCTCGGACTCTGACCGGATTGGATTTCACCCCCGCTTTAAAAATCCGAAATCTGAGACGTCAGTCGCCGATGACTCAGTCGTGACCGACTTGATGACGTCACGTCCCATGAGTGTTTCATCGTGCTTTCGAAATTTTTAAGTCGATGCATAAAAGTCCGCCGCGAAGACGATGCTTGAAAAAGGATGGGGCGCTCTAGTCTTTGACTTTGTCCTCTAAGTCTTTGTCCCGCCCCCTAAGTCTTCCACCCACCGATGACTGTTGCGCGACGAGACAGGTGGTGGCTTTGGTAATCAGTCCCACTGTTCCACACCACACACTACACAGCCACACCACTCCTTGCATTGATCCTGACAGGCTGGTACCTGACCAGGCACCTGTGTCAGAGATTGAGGTTGACTCATTGCAATGGATCCCCAGTTCAAAAGCTACCTGGCTGGTACCTTTTGGATGCTTGGATTGGGTTCAAGCCCTGTGCAACCTACAGCAACAGTACAAGCCTGAGCTACTGTGTGGTGGCCCTGTTCCTCCCATTCCAGGCTTGCAGTGCAACACTATGAGTTCATAATCCCAATCCTGAAGCTTCCACACACAGCCTTCCTGATTTGGACCACTGCATCCTGCCTCTGTTGCCTCCAGTTGCCTGCCTCCCATTGTTGCCTCCCTTCCAGTTGCTT